CACGTTGTTCATTGTTAGTACTGTAGAGATGCAATTAATTTTCTGATAGTTTTTACATCCTGTGAAATTGCTACATTCATAAGTTCTAGGAATCTGTGGTTATCTTGCCATTTTCCATGTAGAGAACCATGTCAACTTCAACCAGGGACAGTTTCACCGCCTCCCCCCGCCCCCGTGTTCTTCCCACTCGGCTAGTGGACGGAGCGGGCCGTGTGGTCCCCGCCTGTCTGCGGCCCTTGGAGAACACCCTCACGCAGGGCTGTGCTGCCGCCGTTTATGAGGCTGAAGGTGCTCATCTGTCCCCAGCTTTCCCAGAGTGGCAAAGGCTTCCCAGGGGCTGGGGAAGAGTAACAGTGCAATGAGGGGCAAAGCACGGCTTCAGGAGGACAAGAGCTGGAGCGTCCGCACGCTGCAGGCGCACTCAGGGCTGAGCCGCAGAGTGCCGGAAGCGCAGGCAACCCACCGGCTCTGCGTTTTCTAAAAGGCCACACACAAGCCAACGACCTCCAACCCTTGCGCTGCACTAACACGGAGCCCTGCTTTACGTAAGCCAGACTTCAGCTATGTCGCGCCCCAGCCGGCAATCCCAGGTGCCGCAGGGCTGGAGACGGCGCCCTGACGCCAGTCTGTCTGCAGGCCAGGGGTTTCCAGGTCCAGAGCTGTGCCACTCTAGGAAGACCCCAAATCACAAGTGGGACACTACTGCTCTCAATAATAAACTTAATTCGTTTTAACTTAAAATTTTAGAGAAGTAGAAGCAATTAGAGGCCATGTTTCAACATAACTACTGAAAACTTAAATCTGTGATCTAAGAAAGCTTTGCCATTTTAGAATTTAATAGATCTTCACGTCACAGCTCATGGTCTGTGACAAGCATACTGTTTCCTAAGTGCTGCTTTCAAGAGCCCTTTAAGCAGAAACTCTCTGGGCCACTCTGGCCGAGGCAACCCGGCTCTGCAGAGCCCAGCCAGACCCTTCTCAATGCAGACTGCCATTGCCCCAGGAGCTCAAGCCCAATGACAGATTCTGGGCTTTTTCGCACAGGTCTTCCGTGTACCTCCAACCCCATGAGGGCAGCTTACGCCAGGCCCCCCGGAGCCCCCACGCCGCCCGGGGCGCCTGATGCGCAGCCCCCAGCAAGATCTGCCTCCTGGAGGCTGCAGCCCTTCCCAGGCACTCACTCAGGAGGCGACGCTGGGCCCGCCCAGCCCGGAGGATGAGCGAGGCCTCTGCTCCCGCCTCTCCCCTCTGCTGGGGCAAGGACCCAGTGGGGCCACGCAGCTGGGCCCGCGCTCCCTGGGAGCGCCCTGCAGCGCTGCCTGCGTGCAGCAGTCACCAGGAGTCGCCAAGCACAGATGGAAGCGCTAATAGCACACACGCCAGGAGGAGGCCCGGGAGGGCACCGGAGGCCATCAGACACGAGGGACACCCAAAGACAAGCGTTAAGGGCCCGCATGCAAGAGTAAGCAACGTGCAGAGAGCTGGGGCCGCACAGAGAGCTGGGGCAGATGCCACCTCTGGGGCAAGGACCCAGTGGGCCCCTTGCAGCTCCGGGAGCAAGAAAGACAGCAGGAAAGCAGCCGGGAGCACAGCCGGGAGTCTGTCTCTGTGCTCAGATTATCATGCAAAGGTGAGAACGCTTTTAGGTCGCAAGGACTTGGAGAATTTTTCACAAATTCTTTCAGAAAGATACAAACAAAATGAAGAAAAAGAAAAATAATCCAAGTGGAGGATATGGAAACCAAGAAAATTATAAAATTAAAGCATACTGTAATGTAAATAAAAGCAAATCAAAATTTATTAAAAATTATGATTTTTATCCTCACCCTTCAGGGTGGAAATAACACAGATATTGACTGCAGATATTACGGTGAGACCCGCACAGAGAAAAACAGACTGTACACTGCAAACTGAGAGGGAGAAAGGCTGGAATAGTTAACAAAATATAAGATACATAATGTGCTAAATGAAACAAATATTCCGGTAGTAAATTTTAACAAATTTCCATATATTATAAACTATTGCTATTATACTAACTTGTGATAAGTCACAAGTATTTCTATGTTCTGGTAATGACAAATATGAGTGCACCAGGCTCACCTAGAAGGCAGTTAGTGAAGCTCCGCCCCACCCTTGAGCTGAGCTCCACCGGCGGCACCGCACCAGGGCTCCTAGCCACAGCGCGACGGCCACTCAGAGAAAAAAGACAAACCTACAAGAGCGACAAAATAGAACTGAAGGACGGTTAAAGATCAAATAAGTAATTTCACGTTGATAAAGAGTATAAATCATTCAAGATAAATGTAAGGTTTGGCTTGAAAATACAGTAAAAATTGAATATAACACAGAATGACAGGTCAGAGTGACACACAAAATAGTATGAGAATAAACTACATGATGAATAATATCAATTATGTATAAAACTACATGCACCAAAAACACAAAAACTTTATGGGAACAGTTACCATGGTAAAAAGTATAACGTATTAAAACAAACATAAAAATGTTTCCCAAAGCAGAAATCAACTGCCATATTTACTGACTTCAACATACTAGAATTAAGATGCTAAAAACCAGAACTAAAAGGAAAAGATAGACCTACCCCATCTTAATAACAAATAAGAGGAGTCTTGCTAACTGACCTGGATTCAACAAGAAACCGAGCAGTCTGAGCTGTAGGAGACTGGCAGGGGCGGCCCGGGCCACTAAATGCAGCTGCCAGAGGCCAAGACAGCACAGAAGTAAGAAAAGGAGGGGAAGGAAACCAGATTCTAAAAAGAATATGGATGAAAGAAAAAAACAGTAATCCTAAAAACAAAAATGCCATTAAGTGAAATCAAGTTTGATTCTACAAAAACAATAATAAAGCTGATTCCTAAGCTAAATCTCAATGCTAAAGAACAAGTATACCAAAGAACCTTATTCATAAACCATAAATAAAAGACTTCAGTCTTTTAAAATAATAAATTAAAAGCCAAAGTCTTTTTATTTAGCATCATATATCAATTTAATAGCAGATTTGAATTTTTGGCCACACTTGACTTTGCTAAAACTTTGTGAGAAATCGTCCATTGATTTTGGCACAAAAAACAAAAGAGGACAGTAACAGAAAGATTAACTGCTCATTTGTTTTTATATTTACTTTAATCACACTCCACAAAATGAATTGAGATAAAAATTGCAAAACTGAAAAAAGTAGCTATGAACCCCATCCAACTTTTTTCACAAAGAAATTATGAGATGCTCCCAACCAATTTTCTTTCGGAACATTCTCTCAAGCAGGCTTGCATTCGTTTTTGTGATTTTTTTTTAACACTTTATTATGCAATATTCAACATCCAAGAAAAAATTACAACCAGCACGTGCAGCCACCACCCGAGTCAGACGCCAGCTGCGTCAGGAGCGCCGGCCCGGCCCACAGCAGTGGCCTGCCCTCCTCTGGTGCTCGCTCCGGTGCATGGCACGCGCGCCACTGAGCGACGCCCAGCGTGGTGTGGTGCGCAATGACCTCTCACGCGGGACGGCCTACCTCCTAATGCAGCCACAGGTATGTTAAAAGCATTCTTTGAAAACTCTTCTGAATGCGCAAGTTTGATGCATGCACAGGAGAGCTGCCGGGCCAGCAGCCTGAATGTTTATCCTTTGGGGGCACTGAGACCAGGTCTCATGACGTAGCCCGGGCTGGCCCAGCACTTGCAGGGATCCTTCTGTTCAGCCTCCCGAGTGCTGGGATTACAGGGGTGCACCACCACCTCCGGGTTTCTCTGTTGTCTAAATTACACAAGTGCCCGATGCGCTGCATGTAATGCTCAGCGTTGCCTGCCTTCAGTTTTTCTCCATATGCCAAGTATGCAACTGTCTGACTGTGGTTTGAATTTGCTTTTCCCTGTAACGAGCCTGGAGGTCTTCACACTCAAGACATTTGTTTCTTCTGTGAACACCTGGCTTCATTTTCTGATTAGAGCGGCTCCACTAATCCAACATCTCTGGCTCAACTATCCTAATGAAAGACCCCAGTGAGGCCCGGACATCTGTAGGAGGCAGAAGCCACTAACATTGTCCTTTCCACAGCATGAGCGTTCACCGTGACAGTCAGGCCATGTACACCTGTCATGAGCCTTCTCTAAGCTGCATTTCAAATAATCAGAATGCAAATGGGAAAGCAGGCAGTTTGATGTCGCTCATCTGCAACTCCACGATGAACATTTCTATTATTAAATTAAAACACTAAAAAGCATCTTTGGATTAACAAATCCTAACAAACTAAAAATAACCACACCACCTTCGGAGCAGATATGCCACCAAGGGAAGGGACAGCTGGACCTGAGGAGCACTGGACACTTCCCACCGGAGGCTCCTGCAAGTGTGAGAGCCCAAAGGCAGGCAGCAAACAGCAGCGCACAGGGGCTGCCTGTCCCGGGACCCAGTACACTGCAGGCTTCTGCATGCCGCGCTCCATCCCAAACTGAGATGGCAGTGACCACTGCTGCACGGTCACTGTGAAAAAAAAAAAGGCCCAATGGGAATGCCAGGCCTGTGTCTGCCTCATCCCATCGTACAGATGAAGACATGAAGCACAGAGCTGTCAGGACTACCCAAAGTCACGCGTCTCAGCACAGGAGTCCAATACTTAAACTCATGGCGATGTGTTGGAATACTTACAACCCTCCAACGAGGCTCCTGAATACTCAGGGTCTCAAATATTCACAGAACAGGGATGGCTATGACTAGTGGCGAAAACAAATCTAAGAGAGAGAAAGAACTCAGAGCTTAAGGAAAAAAAATTCCAGTTTTCCCTTATGCTAGCAAATACCCTGGGCATTGGCCATCAAAAGGCTAGAATAAACCACCAGCCCTTGTGCTGTTCGGCGACACCCAACGTGTCAGGTCAGGCGCAGCTAAGGGAAATTCTCTTAGGTAAACCACCAAATCAACACACCGTGGACTCAGCCAGCTGAGGGAGTCAGGAAGGCAAAGACTGGACACAGGTCCCCACCTACCTACGGCAGGGGCATCATACTCGTCACCAAGCAGAATTTCTGGGGCAGAGTACGCAAGAGATCCGCAGCTTGTCGTGAGCTTCTTCCCTGGCTGAAACTTGTTGCTGAAGCCAAAGTCTGTCAACTTTACGAGACCTTGTTTCTCAAAGAAGACCACATTCTCTGGCTTTAGGTCTCTGTGGACCACATGGAGTTTATGGCAGTAAGATATAGCGTGAACTATCTGAGCAAAGTACTTCTTGGCCAAGTCTTCATTGAGACCCTCCTCGTGTTTCATGATGTAATCAAACATATCTCCTCCATCTCCAAGCTCTAGAATGAGATAGAGTTTGGTCTGGGTGTCAATCACCTCATACAGGCGCACGATGTTAGGGTGCTGCACTAGCTTCATGCACCTCACCTCCTGGAACAGGTGTCCGGTGGCGAGAGTGTCCAGTTTTGTCTTGTCAATCACTTTCACCGCCACCTTCTCCCCCGTGAAGACGTGCCTGGCTAGCTTCACCACAGCAAAGTGACCCCGGCCCAAGGTCTTATCCAGGTCGTACAAGCCCGCGATCTTCCCGTCGTAGCCCCGCTTGAAGCCTGCCATGCTGCTCCGACTGAGGGCAAAGTGCGCAGCCTGGGCGAGCGGGGCTGCTCACAGCCGGGCACCTGCGGAAGACGGGCGACTCGCGTCGAGTGCTGCCGCGGACATCTGCAAAGCGAGAGAGAGGCGAAGTCAAGGTTCTGGAAATGTTCTTCAGCTTCTTTCCATTTTAGGAGATGCTTAAAGCAACCGAATTGAGACAGAACGACTCAGGGTCATTTATAAGAACCTATTTCTATATTTAGAGTTTATATGACAAAGTAAAGCTTGAGAATTTAAATATCAAATTAAATTTTTCAAACTGAAAAATAAACAGCTTAGAAGCGGTATTTCGGTAATGTCAGAAATAAGCAAGCACAACCTTGATGAGCTATGTTTAGAAAAAAATTTTCCCCCAAATTAATTTCAGCTATCCTCTTTAAAAAACAAGGTAAGAGCTGACAAGAAAGGGACAACAGAGGAATGAACGTTTGGACAAAAGCCCCTCTTCCTACCACTCCACAGTAGCTCCTTTAGTGCAGGGAGTCTGTAACTCACCAGCTAAAAGCACATGAAGCCCCGGAAGCTGCGCCAGCCGTGCAGATGGGCCTGGATGCACACCTGTGCCTGAGGCTGCAAAGAGGCCGGTCGAGGCGCGGCTCTACGCGCGGTGCTGGCTTCACCCTCGCCCATCCCGGAACAGTGCTGACCTCAAGCAAGTACAGTGTCCAAAACTTGTACTAAATTTTAAAATTCAACTGTGCATCAAAATGTTTACAAGGCAAATTATTTGTTCTTTCATACGGTAGATGGTTAATGAGTACTTGTTACTACAGGTACTTTCTGACTCTCTTTTTGTAACTATTTTATGACTTATTTTATGTTCCTATTTTTATTATAGTTTTCCAACTCTCAAGCATAAGCTTGACCTGTTCATATTTCAAGAATATCAAGTATGTATTCTTAGAGAATTTTTAGCTAGGCGTGCTAGTGTACACCTGCATTCCAGCATCTGGGACGCTGAGGCAGGAAGATCACTGAAAATTCAAGGCCAACCTGGGGTACACCGTGAGTTCAAGAATAGCCTGAACTACACAGCAAGACTCTCTCAAAAAAAATTTAAATTAAAAAAATTAAATTTTCAACCTTTATGATTTGAACTCTGAATAGGTTCTTATAAATGAACCTGAAAAGTAAAAAAATGTATAAAATTATACAAACTCATACAGCCCTTTAAATTCCCCAGGCTGAACACCCATACTTTTTTCTAACGTTTAATAGAAATAAATAACAAGATCCCGCAAGGAGCACGGTGAGTCCCGAGGACAAGCTCCTTTGCAGGGAGGCCCTCCAAGGCTCCAACACACGTTTGTATCTTAGACACATACACAGCACTTAGTGTAGTGTTTCCTAGAGTTCGCCACGGAGGAAAAAAAAAGTAGCACTTATAGGGCTAGGGAGATGGCTCAGTGCCGTAAGTGCCTGCCTGGCAAGTGCAAGGTCCTGAGTTCAATCCCTGGTATTACAAGAATAGTACTTGCATTAATAGATTTAAGTGAAAGTATTCCAAGAAATTATAAGGTAGTTTTGAACAAGCAATGGCATTCCACTCCTTTATGCTTCGTTTGTATCTCAAAGGACAGAAGGGCCGGCGTCTACCATAGTCCTATGACAGTGAGCGGCCGGGACCGTGGTGTGGCTCCTGGCAGCCTCGAGGTCAGCATGCTGTCCCCCACGGGCAGAGACACAGACCCTGTCAGTGTGTGAGGCCTCAGGGAGGCAGGAACGCTAGACGTCAGCCTGAGCGTGAACTCACGCTTGTGCTTCAGGGCCCGTGCTCTGCGGTCCCTGCACACTCCCAACAGTGCTATTACCGGGACAGTAAGGCCTGAAGAGCTAACATGCCAGCTAAAAAAGAGGCACAGCTGCGCGTGGAGGCGCGTACCTGTAACGCCAGCACTCCAGAGCTTGAGGGAGGAGGACCGCTGTGCATCAGAGACCAGCGTGGGCCACAAAGTGCACAGGGAGACCCTGTCTCAAAAAGAGGCACAATGCCATTCCCACGCTCTTCACACTTCAGTAATGACCTGAGTCACCTACCTGGGGCCACTTCGAAACCTGAATTAGGCTCCAAGAGCCAGTGGCGAAATGCTCACCAGAAGGCACTCTGTATCTTAGGAGCCAGGGCAGCAGTCAGCAGCGCCACCTCCCCTAAGCGAGCGCCGCAGGTCCGGTGCATGCCGAATGCACGCCTCACCTGTCCTCACCAGGGCTCGGGAACGAGCCCAAGCCCGCTCTGGAAGCCCAGCCATGCTCGGGGACGTGGTGGGTACAGCCCTGAACTGAACGTGCCTTAGCTCGCAATCGGATTTCAGAACCAAAGCTCAGGTATGAGTCCTGCTCCCATTAAGATCTCTAAAATAAGGCATCAGGAGGCTGCACAAGTGCTAGGGAAGAAAAGCAAGTTTCCTGTGCTCCTATCAGCCCTGCCTTCTGAGACAACCATGCTGACGGCACGACCAACAAGAAAGGCTACCCTGGAAGGCTGCTGTACTGGGACAGCAGTTCCCAAAAGACTTCAGTGCAGGCATGTTTACTTTTAAAGAGTAAAAAATATAGGCTAACTAAAGGCAGCAGAAAACTATCTTTTAATACTTAACTCAATTACGAAAATCTTACCAAGTCTGCCCATTTCTATGACACAGATCTGCGAATGGAATTGGCTGTTCCTCCCTGCCCACCTTCCAGGTCCCTGCTCCTCTCCTAGTGCCTCTCCTCGCTGTCCGCCGTGGGGCCCCCGCGCCTCTCCTCCCTGCCCCCCTTAGGGCCGTGGGCCCTTCTCGCTGCCCCCGAGGGCCCTGCGCCCCTCCTCCCTGCCCCCCTTAGGGCCGTGGGCCCTTCTCGCTGCCCCCGAGGGCCCTGCACCCCTCCTCCCTGCCCCCCTTAGGGCTCTGCACCCTCCTCCCTGACCCCCTTAGGGCCCTGTGCCCTCCTCGCTGCCTGCCATAGGGCCCCCGCGCCTCTCCTCCCTGCCCCCCTTAGGGCTCTGCGCCCTCCTCCCTGACCCCCTTAGGGCCCTGCGCCCTCCTCGCTGCCTGCCATAGGGCCCCTGCGCCTCTCCTCCGTCCCCCTTAGGGCTCTGCGCCCTCCTCCCTGACCCCCTTAGGGCCCTGCGCCCTCCTCGCTGCCTGCCATAAGGCCCCCCCGCCTCTCCTCCCTGCCCCCCTTAGGACCCTGTGCACCCTCCTCCCTGACCCCCTTAGGGCCCTGCGCCCTCCTCGCTCCCTGCCATAGGGCCCCCGCGCCTCTCCTCCCTGCCCCCCTTAGGGTACTCCCTGATCCCCTTAGGGGCCCTGCGCCCTCCTCGCTGCCTGCCATAAGGCCCCCGCGCCTCTCCTCCTGACTCCCTTAGGGCTCTGCGCCCTCCTCACTGCCCACCTTAGGGCCCCCGCGCCTCTCCTTGTTGCCAGCCTTAGGGCCCCCGCTCCACTTCTGGCTGCCTACCTGAGGACCCCCACACCTCTCAACTACTTAGTCTGATGTGTCCAGGAAAGTGGTTTGTCAGATTTGGTAAATGAACCTAGGGGCTCTTAAAGTTAAATTTGCGTATGATGGCAATAAAAATGAAAAAAAGACAGATCTTTTATTTTCAGGGTGCCACCCATGCAGGTGTGACAACTAAGAAACAGCTTGGTGTTTCTCTTCCAGCCCTGGGCCAACAAAACAGCAAAATGAAGTGATTTTTCACCTAGCAAGCTCAGAAAAGACTAGTAGGTTTCTTCCTGGGGCACACTGGTCTACAGTGACCAGTTACTGTAAGGACTGATTACTCTATCAAGAACTTACTTTTGGATAAGCACCCCCTTTTCAGAGATGGAAGTTGTAATTAGATTTCACACCTAAAAACAAGACATCATGCCTAACTGAAGGCTGGATGCAAAGCATTCTCAATGTGAACATCTTCTTAAATTCTAAGCCACAGTCTAATCCTACTATGATGAGACAAACCGTGTTTGGATCTGACACTCTCCCAGCACCTGCAGCGCCCTGCACACCTCCACGAGGACGTGGCTTGCATAAGCACAGGCAAGGACATACCCTGCAGACTGCACGCAGAAGAGGAATCCTGGTCACCACTGGCTCGTGCTTGCTGCCTCTTTCTCCTAGAAGAAAATGCAGAAGAGTTTTAGTTTAGTTCTGTTTAACTTTGTCCAAAGTTAACATATACAGCCTTGGGCTAGATTCCAGACAACTGTACCAAAAAGGCAAAACCTGTCTTTAGTCACCAGGTCTCCCACAGCTCTTTGCCCTCTGTAACTTACCACTCCCAGGAAAGGGACTGCCAGTAAATGGTAATGTCAGATTATTCCACAGAAGGAAGAGACAACAATGGACAGCCATGCGTGCACTATGCTACCAGGGCTCCGGGGACTCTGCCCGCGACGAGCTCCCCCACCCTGGGGGGCGGTGGCAGCGAGGCTCCCCTCTGCCTGCCTTTGAAGGCCCCAACCTCAGCAACCCCAGAGCCTCAGGAAAGACTCACAGCAGCAGCCAAGGAGGGCAACCTTTCCAAGCCATTTCTCCACCACGCAAGCAGAACTCAATTCTGAAGCTAGCTTTGGGGATGACAAAAACCTTTGCACCAGAGTCCTGCCCTTCCCAGCAAATAAGCAAGGAGAATGTGAACAGATCACTTGCATCCACGCCCACTCCCACGGGGCCTCGTGGGCCCTTCCTCACCACTGAAGGTCACAGAAGCAACAGAAAGACCTGAGCCCTCAGGCCAGCCGGCCCTTGTGGCGTCACTGCAGTGCGGCTGCCGGGGCAACAGCGAGCGAGGCTCACTCCGTCTTTCTTTTCTCCAACGGCTGAGATAAAACACCCGACACCCAAAATCAGGGAAGGCAAGGTCTGCTTAGCTCAGGGTTTGTGGAGGTTACGTCAGTAGTCAGCTGGCTCCAAGGCAAGGTGGCATCGCAACGGTTCAGGGCAGCAGAAGACAGCAAAGCAGCAGCGAGAGAGCCCGGGAAAAGCCAGCCTCGCCTCCCTCACACTGGAAGCAGGCCTCCCCGCTAGGGCGGCGCAGCACCGCACGGCTCCCAGCCTGCTCTCATCCAGGCGCCGGGTGTCTACAAAGGGGCCCCTGGCCGCCTGAGTTCATTAAATTTCTTTCTTTCTCTCTTTCTTTTTGTACAGAGTCTACAGGGTCTCACTACCAAAATTTCTAAGCTTCTCAAGTTGACACACTGGACAACATCCTAGCGTAAGGGCATGTGCTCTACTTCCAAGATGTAGAGCTGCTGAGTTACTTCTGACGTAGGGTATCAACTGTCACACACCTCTGGAAGAAAAGCAGCAGGGAAGGGTGGGCCCACACAGAAAGCAGAGGAGGAAAGGGAGGTCGCACAAGCCCAGCCTGGGAATGAGGAGAGAGCTGGAGTCCACTTCTGCTCACTGGAGAGCCCTGGATGCTACCTGCCTGCTCCTGCGGCCCCTCCACGCAGTCTCTGCGGCAAGCAGTGTGGCAGTCTGGGGTGCTGGTTCTGAAGGCCCAATGAGTGCCTCTGAACCTCAGCTCACAGCCAGAGCTGAAAAGCAGTGAGTTAACAGAGGTGAACCATCCAGAATAATCATGCCGGCCTGGAGGAGCCTCCCGGAATGCCTCCCGAAAGCCCTCACCGGCAGAAACATCCCAAGAGTTCACCCTGCTTCAAGAGGACCAAGAGTTACAAAGACTGGGAAGGACCAAAGAGGGTAGAGGACAGAAAAAGAACTGAGACATCTTACCTACACAGACAGGCTCCCCAAGAGAAATGTACCCATAATCATTCTGCACTATAAACATGTACTGAAAAATAAAGGAAAGAAAAAACGAATGCACTGTTCGTATCTCTCACTTCTATAAAAATGCTATAGCAGGTACCCTAAAATGTACTTAGCACACAAGTGCTATGTACCTCAGAGTATCACAATCTGATGATTTTTCAAAAAAAGTCTCAAAAACCCCAAGTATTAGCTTATCAAATTTACCCTTTCAAAAACCTCGCATGTGCCTTTATATGTTTTCCCATCAAAGTAATATATTCTTAGAGAAAATCTGGAAAGCACAGAATGAAAACAGAATTAAAAAGTACCCCTAGTGCTCGCACCACTAACACTCTGGCAGTCAGCTTACCGTATTTACATGGTCTCTCTTGTCTTCAAGATGTGCTCATTCTATGCAATTCATACCCTGCAGCCTGCTGTTTTCACTTACCAGATCACTTTCTTTTGTTCTAGAAGTTTTGTTTCAAGTATGAAAAAAAGTTTAATTTAGAAGCATTGTAACTGAAATATATAGACTGGTAAATAAATAAAAAGAACAGTTTAAAAAAATTCCACCATCTCGCCATCCACGATAACCTCTGCTAACATTCCAGTACTAGCCTTCCAAATTATTTTCTATGTATAGCATAGGCCAGATACAACTTAAAATGGGACAATATGCAGGGTAAGGAAAGCGACGTCAGGGCAGAGAGGGACTGCACCTTCCTCTAAGATGTACTCCGGGCTGGGCGTGGTGGCACACACAGGAAGGTTACAAGTTCAAGCCCAACATGGTCCATTTAGTAAGACTCCCGTCTCAAGATAAAAAATCAAAAAGACTGAAGATCACCTCAGTACTAAAACCCTCACTTCAGTTTCTAGTACTGGAAAAAAAAAATCAAAACAAAAAAATAAGCTGGCCCAGTTCCAACACCTCACTCTCGAAATTCTGCGAGATACAGAAGCGCACGACGAAGCAAACGACCTGCAGGCCGAGAGGCGCCCTCCAGGTGACTTCAGCGGCGCCCACGAGGCGCCCTGCAGGCCCGCGCAGCCCCTCCGCTCACACCCTTGCACCCGAGAGCACGGCGCAGGCCGGCAGTTTCCCGCGTGCTCTTACGACTAACACTTCCTCATTCACTGCTTCTCTCTAGATCAGTTTGAACAACTACCTAGCTAAAATCACATCTTTTGAAACAGCAAAGGCCTCTAAACAGAGCACCCTGGCACAGCCTTCTTACTCATCATGCGCGCACGTGCACACGCACACACGCGCGCGTGCGGGTACAACCCGGCCGGACCTAACAAGCAGGACAGCCAGCCGTCTCTAACGTGGAAACCCACGCCCGAGCGCCTGGCGCGCTGCGCGAGTCCCCTGGGGTCCTCCCAGCCACCCGAGCAGAGGCGACCGCGGCGGGCGTGGCTGGAGGGCAGGAAGGAAGCGTGGGCGGCTGCGCACGCGTTTACAAGCCGCTGAGCACAGCCGTAGAACCAGCCTCTGCGGGGCCCACTGGCGCCCGCCCGGGAACTCGCTCTGCCATTCCTGCTCCCACGGACGCACTGCGAGCTCCTCGCTGACACCACCGCCACTGCAGTCCGCTCTGCGTAGCCAACAAGCCTCTCCCACTCCTTCCCTTCCCAGGAGCCGAGGCAGGCTGCACGGAGGCGCCCTGTGCAATGCGCGGGCCAATGCGTCGGAGAAGGCGGAGAAGACGCACAGAGCTCTGCCCTGGGAGCCAGTCCGCACACGTGGTCTGTTCACGCGTGGCCTGGAGTATGGACCCCCTTCCACACCAGGCCATCGACATTCTATGCTACCCGAAACCTCCCAAACGTATTAAATGCTTTATAAACTCCACACCAATGATCCCTACCTAATACAGCCAACCCAAACCCATCTTTGCAAGGCTACGCCCTATCTGTATTTCACTTCTTACCCACGGAAATGTACCCGGTATCATTTACAAAGACCAAAAACTGGAACTGTCTTCCCTGCTTACAGAAATACGCACCTAAGCTACAGCTACAGAGAAGCCACCTCTGGGGGGCCGCTGCCTCCCTCGGGAGTATCACCGCCCTGACCTCGCTGGGCCACTCCGCGACGCCCGCCCGCCCCCCGAGAAGGGCGGAGAAGCGCGCTGAACGCGAGAGGGGCGCGCGTCCCTCCTGCCTGCTGCAGCGCCCCATCCCCTCTCGGGCCGCAGCCCATTCCGCAGAGCAGCACGGGCTCCAGGATGGACCGGTCGCCAGGCGCATGGCTTCTTGGAGCGCCCGCTTTGGTCACCCGCGCCTCCTCCTAAGAATTCGTCACGCACCTCCACGTAGAATCCGGCAGACCGCGAAGGGCCCGCGCGGGAAGCAGCTATTCCCAGCCTAGAACCTGACCGCCCAGCGTAAGTTCAAAGTCCCCGACGGAATCTGCCTCCTGCTCAAGTGATGAGAAAGACTACGCGCTCACCTTGTCTACCTAAGGGGGCACTTCCACGTCAGGACGGTGACAGCCGGACCCCAGGCGCCCACACGGCCCAACAGCTGGTATGTGGAAGCTCCCCAGAGCAGACAGCCGACCAACCCTGCTACCCACCAGGAAAATAGAATGCAAGCGGGGCAGTATAGAAAATTTAAAAACTTCAGCTAAATCTCACCTCTTTCAAAACCTGTATTAATACTGACGACTCATTCTAGGATCCCCCTGATTTGAGAGGGAACAGAAAAAACATCTGGGAATTGCCCTACATTGCTAGGGCTGCCAGTTAATTTTCTAAAAAGCAAATGGCAAAATGTGTACACAAGCCTTATAAATATAATTGATTTAAGCGTCTTTCCACCGTTTAAGTGTTCCTAATCTGAAACATCCCAAACTCTGAAGTTTGGGAGGCAGAACAGAAAATTCCAGACCATCAAAGTTTGCTTCATGAACAGTTATTAAAAATAACATAAAATTACCTTCAGGCTACAGGTATTAACTGTACATGAAACACAAATGAATTTCATGTTTAGACTTCAGTCCATCCCCAAAATATCCTACTGTGTATATGCAAATATGCTACAGTCTGAAAAAAACCAAACTTCAAAACATTTCTGGTCCCAAGCATTTCAGGTAAGGGATACTCAACTCAGAAAATTTTCCTCAGAAAAAACACAGATGTTTTTTCTGTTAATATGTTAATAAACATGTTAACAAGTATTTATCAGAAGTGATATAAAAGCACATGATACAAAAATTGGTTAAGGAAGCCACAGTACACCCAACAATACTACTCCACTGCTCCATAAGACTATTTAATTTCATGGAGACAGTCTCCCAACCTAATGTCAAGTTTTTAAAAATCCATATGCTAAATTTCATAGCTTATCATCCCAATTTTTAAAAAACAATATTTTCATGAGAATATATCTTAGAAATTCAAGATGTTAAATCAGTAACATTACTAAAGTTTTTTTTTCCCCTATTTGTCTGTTCTTTTAAAATTTTAATCAGTGAATATTTGCTGCTTTTGTAATCTAAGAACCACAGAGGTTATTAGAATTGTGACTTTCTGGACATAATTATGCATGCAATTTATTTTCTCATGAAGAGATTTATAGGGAGTAAACTGACTTCCACACACTTACACCATCTAGCTCCTATTTATGTAACCTTAATTTAAAAAAGCCACACTGGAGGAAGTCTGCTTCCTCAGGAAAAACACGCCATTGCTTCAGGACAAGGCACAGGAGCACAGAGGAGTCATCTGCACTAACGGTGAGCCCCGCTGTGGCAGAGGCGCAGGTCCTGCCCTTTAGGGTCCCTCTGGAGAGGTAGGTATGCAGGGCCTCCATAGAGAGAAACAAGCGCATGGCGGGCTGTGGGAGGTACGGCAGAGAGAACCTGGGACGCCTCGACCCTCAGGGCACCGGGCACCACGTGCGGACCAGAGCTGCCCTTCAGCGGAAAGCAAGCAGGACCTCGCTCGGAGATGAGTACACAGAGGCAGGGACTGCAGGAGCCTGGGGACCTGGGCAAGGAGAGCAACGGGCTGGGCCAAGCCATGACTTAGGGTACAAGGTCCCTTCTCAGGAATCGCAACTTACCCTCCCAGAACTAACGTGTCCTTCTACAGATTCACTTATTTAAGTGTCAGCAAATTATCTTTAAAGAGAAAAGTGCACAGCAAAGCCCACTGTCTAAGAGGGGACGCAAGGCCTCAAGAGGACAGAACCTCTTAGGCACCAGTACACATGCAATAAAGAAGCAAGATTGGAGAATTTAAACCACCCAGAAAAGTTCAGGGTTCCCTTCAAAGTTCCAGAAGACACCAATTTTTCTTCTGACTTGTTGAATTTTTTTTTTATCATCCCTATAAGTATTTCTCTTTGGAAAACCTGCTAACCTCAATAACTTTATTTATTTATACCAGAGACTGAACTCAGGACCTTGCACCTGCCAGGTAGGCACTTGTGCTCCCTGGCCCCTCAATTACTTTATACAAAAATAGGCTCTACAGCAAAACCCACAGCTGGTTTTCTTTCATTACTTCATTTTAAATTTTAAAAATGTCTTTCACTACCACAAATGCCCCCTTAGAATTCCAGTCTTGTCTGAATAGGGTCTCACAGGAAATGCTCGATTCCTGGGAGTCTGCGTAGTCCCGGGCTTCCTACGCCTGTGAGGTGGCTTAATCCCTCACAACCAGGCTGCAGCGGAGACCTTGCGCCCCAGGGAGACCAAGGGCCTCACTGGCCCGGGACCTACGCCCAGCAGGGGACGACGCCCGGGCTGGGCTTCAGGCCTTCGGACCTGGGCCCCGCGCCTTCTCTTTCCTGGTGACAACGCACTGCTTCCTTGAGCTAGGCCGTCTGATTTCCAGAGAAGCTAACGCACGGAAATAACATGTGTTGACATTTCTGGCGTTCCTCAACTCTGACACGGTGCCACTCTAGACTCACCTGGCAAACATTAACAAGCGGTGCTGCTCAAAGCTCTGTGAAATGTTTGGAAACTTTTTTAAGTGGAGAAAGGAAGTTGCAGGCAAGTAACCACTCAAAGATAGGCTGCGGCAACTGTGGCACCCTGAAAATGACTTCCTGAAACTGCATGCAGTCTCATGACAGTGACAGCCAGCACCAAGCAATCCTGACAAAATTCAGGCAAGCCCCCTCTACTCCTTCAAAAGTTTATCCTGCCCAAACTTCAACTGCAATGTATTTTGCAATTTACATTCTTTCCAGTTGTTTCTGAGAAAGTACTTTCCTTCAAAAGAGGATTAGTAAATGCTCGCCAAATAAGAGAACTGGGCCCTAAAACTGTACAACAAATATTCTCATTCCAAAATGCATCCACAATACTTTTACACCAATAAAGAACTGTTAACCTGCACAAATAGCCAAAATTTACCTTAGTCACTCTGCTTTTGCTCAATACTAAACAAGCTGTACAATATCAGGATGATTTTA